TAAAATGTTCCATAGCGCCGCGATCAAAAAAGCGGACAACTTCGCCCATATTGGCAGCACACCAGAATCGACGACCGAGTTGTTTGCCGGATTTCCAAAGTCAGCCAAGCCTTCGACTGGCTTCAAGCCTCCATGTGGAACCGTCACGGTCTCCAGCTGTCCCAGAAACTGACGATGTACAAGACTGTCGTGCTCACGAGACTCCTGTACGGAGCGGAAACTTGGACTGTCTACGCCAACCAAGCTTTGAAGCTAAAACTTTTTCATCTCAACATATTCCGCCAAATACTGAAGCCGAAATGGCAGGACAGGATCCCGACATGGAAGTCCTGGAGAGAACGGGAATTCTCAGCATCCAGGTAATTCGTAAGCAGGGGAATGCAGTATTTATAGGATAGTGTGACTATGATACTGCATACTTATGACAATTTACGGCTCTCCTATCGGGGATAAGTGCTCGCTTATGCGCTAATTGCTTGGTGTACGGCCTGCGGACCGTGACATGTTGAACTTCCCTCATACGTGGTAGAATTGAGAGTGTTGACTGCTCGGCCATCTGGGTCTCTGGCGCCGGCGTGAGACGACGCGTTGGCCTGTGCAGTCCCCAAGTGGCGACTTACTTTGGCCTCCCCAAGTTGCACAAGGAGGGTGCTCCTCTCCGATCCAGTTCAACGTTCGGACTGGCAAATTGGCTGTTTCGGCGTCTCCAAATTCTGTCCGCTGATTCAGGCACCACGATCCATTCATCAACACAATTGTTAGGGAAACTTAAAGGGGTTAGTCTCCGACCAGGTGACATCACGTCCCATTTAACTTCTATCCCCTAGGATCTGGCAATCGAGGCTGTTGAAATACTCCTAAGAAGCAAATACCATGAGACAGACAATTGCTTCGGACATTCCTGAATCCTACAGCGCCCGAACTTCTGTCTCGGAACCTACTTCACGGTTGACGTCGTCATCGAACGGGATTAGTTGCTCACGTTAAAATGACTTCTTAACAGCGTCTTTAAAGACATACAGTCTACGATAGAGGAGGAGGGAAACAACCACCTGGTCTTCGTTGATATCCCCATCTGCCATAAAGATTATGGTGGCCTTAAGGCCAAAGTGTTCAGGAAAGGGATAAATACGATTTAAGTACTGAATTTCAACCGCAACCACCAAATCAACTACAAATGCAGTTGTGCGAGGACACTTTATCTGCGCGTTGAGACACTTTAGGGAACCGGCAGATGAAGTTGCCGAACTACAATATTTTCGACGGGTGTTCAGAGAAAATGGCTATCCACGCGACTTCGTCAAACAATGCATGCGCAAATGAGACGAGAAACAAAATTGCACCGACCCCAAATTTTAGCAAGCGATTCCGTACGTCACAAAACGTCACGGAGGCTGTCGGCCGCTTTTTCGCACCACTTGGGGTTGGAGTCACGTACAAGCCGCAGGCAACCAGAAGGCATTAGATAATGAAATCAAAAGACCCACTGCCTCGGTAAGAAACAGCTGAAGTCGTCTATTGGACCTGGGACAATTGCAAACTGCTGCGGACGCGAGAAATGATGCCACTTTTCAAGCCGCGACTCATTCGACGAGAGCCGGTCACACGTTCAAATTTGATGAGGCCGATATTCTCGCGAGAGACAACAATCAAGTCAGTCGTGAGTTACTTGAGTCATGGGTTACAGGCTCCCAGTCTATAAACGAGTGCAATGACCTGTCAAATCCATATTAAGCACCGAGGTTCACTTTGGCCAAAGCAAGTCATCGCTTGGGGAACGCACATGCCAACGCGTCGTCTAGCGTCAGCGCCAGGGGGCCAGACGGCCGAGCATTAATCACCCCCAATGCTACCACGTGTGATGAAAGTTCAGCAGGTCACGGCCCGCACGCTGCACATCAGGCAATTAGCGCATAAGTGAGCACTTATCCTCCATGGGGGAGCCGGTAATTAAGCATGCAGTATCATAGTCACTGTATCCTATAGATACTGTATTTCCCTGCATATGAATTACCCACTTCTGCTATTGTCGCTGCTGATGGATCCGCGAGGGATTTTGAAACTCAGATGAATAACAATTTTGACCTAGGGACCTTATTTACTTCTTCTTAAGGCAATTTTTTAACCCAAAGTTACTGTCTCTGATGATGGATCCGCGACGGAATTCGAAACATCAAGCGAATAACGTTTTTGTCCTGGTGATCACGTTGGCTTCTTCTCACTTACATGCTGGGACTCGCATGTTCGCTTACGTTGGCAAAATATGGGGTGCGGACACAAGTTTCCGTCACGGTTATGCCAGATGAAGGCCCCTATTCTAAATAGTTGTGCTGGTCTTTGTAGATGGGAAGGGGAATCAGAACAGCAAAGAACTTGTTAACGTTTATTTATGCGGTTCCCTAAGCGGGACACGTGAATAGAAACATCCCACCCAAGTAATAAAGTTAGTGCTGAACACAATTCCGGAAGACGTAAATATCCGTGTTCTAGCCATATCAATATGTTTAACCCTAACGCTACTCTAAACTGTAACAATATCGTAAACGCTAACCGCCAACACTAGCTCTAACTTGCCCTAATACTAAGAATTAGAAAGCAACCTAAATACCCCCCGACCTATAGCAAGTATACAATTTCCAACGAGCTTTTATCGGTCGACATACATATGTTTGTAGCACACACCCGAGACCGAGCATGACGTACTAAAGCGTTTCTGACTTATTCGTCGTCAATACGCTTCATTTTCATACACGGACCTATAATTAAACGCGGGCCTTATTGGTCGCTGATATTATCGACCGGTAGTTCGGCATCAGATTCTTGATCTTTCAGCTGCGACTAATATAATTTACAGTTGCTACATCATCGTCCGCAAGTAAAGAGGGACCACCCACATCACGTGAAACAGATATTCTTTCGGAGAGTGGTCAAGCTGTTGTTAGCTTTCATGCATTTTTGTTCCACCTGCCCTGAATTCTTCGGCGATTCGGGGTTTACAAACGTAGTGGCAATTTCAAATTCAGTATAACTCTCCAATGATAACCGAGGAGACATTACCTGTTCTAAAATTGTCCGCTGTTGTGGACATTTACAGGACCAGTTTGGAAGTAGCAGTAGTGAAGGCAAGACCGTCACATAGTTGAGTCCAAAGTCTAGTGGAGAACACTTGGTTTCGAAAGTTCATGGCTTTGGGCAGAGGAGTCGATTATTAATAGGAAACTCACAGAGACTTACGGGCCGAGGCGGAGCACTCTAGAAGCGGACGGGGCGACCAGTGGGACAGATAAGAGCCATACTCCGAGGACGCTAACAAGGTACACCGACAAACAAACCCGCCCAATGCGACGTACCGACGTACCAACACAAGCGTGGAGGTTGTGAGTCATACAGAGAAAAAATGATTAATAACCGCCTCGTCGCACCGCCGCTACCGCCGGCGGTTCCGTGCCGCCATTTGCAAAGCGTGCTCTTCTAACCCTTTCCACCATACTACGCGTGCTTGCGTGCGGACATTTGTTTAAAAAAAAACTCCCA